TTTCCTGGTCGCAATAATACTTCGCTAATAGTGCTTACTCTGATGGACTGGCATTAATGCTGAATGGTAGCATTGCTTCGGCTTAAAGAGCAGAGTAAAGGACAGAAACAACCGGTTCATTAGAAATCTCCTCAGCAAATCTTCTACGGGAAAATAGTTACAGATGTTGGAAGACGTTGTAGCAAAATTTCAGAGAAATATCGCTGTTTGTAGCAGATAGTGGTTACAAAATGACTTCACAACATCATCCATTTTGCTTGGCAGCACACTTCACATCATTCATTAAGCTTCCCATTTCAGAAGAATAGCCTTTCTCACATATTGTCATATTCGCAGAAAGAGCTAGCAACTCAAGATGAGCTGCATGTTTTAGAGAAAAACAGCAGAAACGCTACACTGCACGAGTAGCTGCATTCAAAGAGGCACGCATGTCCACCACAGAATCATATACCTTAGACTGAATACGCACGAAAACCTATCAGATGCAATATACCAGTGGTTCTCAAAATGTGGGTAAAGAAAACTTTTGATGAACTGTTTCTCTTATCGTATAATGACCATATTTACTTGCATATCCGACCACCAATTGCGCATTTTCCTCCTAGCGTTTACAACATGTGATAAACTTATGATTTTTATAGTAAAGTACATAGATGAATAACAAAAAGTAACTTGTACTTAAAAAGAATAATTTTAAAAGCAGTAAGTGTAAACGACTTCCTTAAAATACGGAATACAGAGATATCATAATTTGATGTATTCATATGCGCTGTTTAGTGCGTCTGTTTCTTCTTATAATTCCTGCCGTCATAAATGTTATGCACTGCGTAATTTTCCTCTCTCTGCTTTCAAGAAGTAAAATTTGTAGAAATACCCCAGTCAACATGGTATACAGTATATTTACCTGCAATTAAAAATTAATTTAGAGTTATCAATTAATTGTTAACAGCTATCTCTGTTTATTTATTACTACTTCATTATTATATTGTTTACATTTTTTGGAAGAATATCTATAAGCATATGGATCGCGAGGCTAAAATGTTTGAGAAGCACCACATTATGTTATGACGCAACCATTATCTAGTCTTTGCAATTGCAATGATTCAAACATTACTCAGGCCTTCCAAAACGGTGGATTCCTGGAATGCAGGGTTCTTAGATCAATGTCCCAGTTCACTTTTAAGAACTATACGGAATATCAGTTAATGTAACCAAGGTGGGGACATGTTACTAATAAAACGTATGGCCAGGGAATTCATGGATGAGGGTCATGCATAACGTAAGAGCACCACTGAATGTATTTGCAACAGGATCTGTAAGGGTATGTGCTTTAAGCGAAGTGGCTAATCGCACCGACGGTGCGAATAGCCAAGAGGCTTATCACACCACCTACGTTTGCGCGTGCGCCCAATCAGCCCAGGTACCAGCATATTACGCCGATTTCCGTAAGCGAGGAGGTACCAAGAGCGAAGGTTGTTAACCCTAACTCAGCAATAGGAAGGGTCGTTAATAGTTCACCAGCAAGAGAATAATTTGCAAGTAATAATTATCAATTACAAAGACAAGATCACTCTATATGCATAATAATGTTCAGGAATTGATTAGATAAAATAGGGATGTAATGATGGTTCTAATTGCAGGCGAGGACGTGTAATTACTTACAAAATCTTTAATGTATTGACAAAAATAAAATTTCAGAAATTACTTAAATTCTCTTATTTAATAAAGGGAATTTTATGCAAACTTAAACCCTAGTCTTATGGCATAGGACTGTCAGAATTTATTATTCAATAAGAAAACTTACTGAAAATATAATATTCTTATATATTCATCACTTTTTCACTATCCACACATGTTTATAGGTTCAAATGCCATATTTCAAAATCAAAGTTATTTATTAAATAAAACCTTATAAAATCTGATAAATCATTTGTGTGCGTAAATTTTTAAATCTAAATCCCTTACATTAAATTATTTCTTTCTTTTAAATTATATCCCATTATTTATTTCAATTTCATTTATTAATGTGTTTGTACTAATATTTCAAAGTTCTTTGAAATACATTTTGTGTCCTGAAAATGCCAAATATTTCTATAAAAAAATAAGCAGGCATACAAAATTGTTAATAGCCAGTATTATATGCTTAATTTTCATTTAATAGTTGATTTAATCGCTTTTAACTTATTCCATGTCTAAATTTTCTACACAGAAATCCTCTGTCTAATTTTTATTATCTTTTCTCGGACGAAAATTTTCAAAGAGGAATGAATTAAAGTCTTGATTGTGCAAAACACATCTTTGAAGCTAAATGTATTCTAAGAAGTATAAAAAATGTAAACAAGGTTTTGTCCCCCCCCCAAATCAGTCATTTAAACTATTCCAACCGTTCAGGAAAATGATAAACATTGTGAACATCAAAATCTGCCCCTTTTTATATATACTTTAATAAAAGAAAATGTGTTCCTCCTTTTAATATATATAAGAAAAGGAGCCCATTTCCGTTTCTAAACTTTTGAAAGCCGCCAACGCTTAAAAAATGATAAACTACGTATTATATAAGGTTTGAGACGCCGAGGTAGTAACACGCCTTTAAAAAAAAAAAAGATTCACTACAATACTAGGCAGTTGGCGTACGTAGAATCCGTTCTTTTCGATTGGGTTCAAATGACGGATCCGACAACTCAATGCGCATGCGTGGTTAATGTTGGTGCGATTAGCTGCTTGAGCTGTTCACACCAACATTCACCACGCATGCGCATTGAGTTGTCGGATCCGTCATTTGAACCTAATCACTTGTCGACTTTCAAAAGATTAGAAAGGAAAAGGGGTTCCTTTTATTAAAGTATATATAAGAAAGTGCAGATTTTGATGTTCACAATGTTTATCATTTTCCTGAACGGTTGGAATAGTTTAAATGACTGATTTGGGGGAGGGGACAAAACCTTGTTTACATTTTTTATACTTCTTAGAATAAATTTAGCTTCAAAGATATGTTTTGCACAATCAAGACTTTAATTCATTCCTCTTTGAAAATTTTCGTCCTAGAAAAGATAATAAAAATTAGACAGAGGATTTCTGTCAGGAAAATTTAGACATGAAATAATTTAAAGACGAATTAATCAACTATTAAATGAACAATTAATCATATAATACTGGTTATTAACAATTTTGTATTGCTGTTTATTTTTTTATAGAAATACTTCGCAATTTCAGGACACAAAATGTATTTCAAAGAACTTTGAAATATTAGTACAAATACATTAATAAATTAAATTTAAATAAATAATTTCAAACGTGCCTGATACACTACTGCATTATATTAAAAATATTTGTTTTAAATGCTTCATGCGCTGTTACTTCCAGTAGTGTATGAGGCACTTAAAACAAACATTTTTAATGATGGAAATCACTCTGATGTATAAGGTTTTGAGAAATCGTATGTTCTTAAGCAGTGGTTACTACAAGTACACTGTTGGCTATTTAAACTGCTACATCATAAAATAATGGAATTGCCAGAAGCATATTTACTTTCCAAATACATTATAAAAGAGGATTAAATGATTAAATTTAAAAGACAGAAATAATTTAATGTAAGAGGTTTAGATTTAAAATTTTGCACACATAAATAATTTATCAGAATTTATAAGGTTTTATTTCATAAATAACTTTGATTTTGAAATATGGCATTTGAACCTATAAACATGTGTGGATACTGAAAAAGTGATGAATATATAAGAATATTATAATTTTCAGTATGTTTTCTTATTGAATAATAAATTCTGGCAGTCCTATGCTATAAGACTAGGGTCTAAGTTTGCATAAAATTTCCTCTATTAAATAAAAGAATTTAAGTAATTTCTGAAATTTTCTTTTTGTCAATACATTAAAGATTGTTTAAGTAATTACACGTCCTCTCTTGCAATTAGAACCATCATTACATCCCTATTTTATCTAATCATATCCTGAACATTATCATGCAAATAGATTGACCTCGTCTTTGTAATTGATAATTATTACTTGCAAATTCTCTTGCTGGTGACCTATTAACAACCCTTTCTATTGCTTAGTTAGGGTTAACAACCTTCACTCTCGGTACCGCCGCTTACGGAAATCGGCGTAAAATGCTAGTAACTGGGCTGATTGTGCGCATGCGGGAACGTAGGTGGTGTGAATAACTTCTTGGTTATTCGCACCGTCGGTGCGATTAGCCACTGCGTTAAGTGGGTCAGTTGTTAAGTTTATAACAAATATACTGTACGGATATTTGTCTAGATTTACCTTTGTCATTTCCAGTGCAATGGCTCCAAATTGCTCTATAAAAGACAGCGCTCGACATCATAGATAACTCGGAATAGTTGAGCCAATGGAGAGCTAAAGAACGGGGCGGCGTGATTATTTCCGAGCCTCATGGCACTCTCGTTAAATAAATGGCATATACAACTTCCGGCTTGAATCTTTGTCGTATCAATTCTTATCACTGGTCCGATTAAAGGCAGATTTCTGAAATAATAGTATGCTCATATAAAATACTGTGAAATAGATGAAGCATGCCCTGATCGGGAATTCGAAATGGTAGGGTTCTTGAATTAGAATAAGGTGAATCTAATGCAATGTCAGATATGCCAAATATAAACAGAAAAAAAAAAAAAAAAAGAATGCTAATCCTATATTTTGAACTAAAACTATCAAACTATTAGTAAATATCTTTTGGCCTTTATTTGATTCTTGGCTTATCATTTTAATCTATTTGGTCTTCCCCTACCTTTACTATTTAAATTTCCAGTTGAATTCGCTTTTTCTTCCAGAAAAGAGTTAGCATTAGTTAAGAAAAGTGTGATTTATCATCATAAGAATATCAAAAAAGTGTCTTTTAATTTCAGTTCATTCACGATTTAGTTTGCGAATTTTGGAGAAACAACGTATAGTATAAATTATATATGTATGTGTTTCTCCCAGTCAAATATTCCTGATTATATGTAATAATTTCACATGTATTACAGTGTCCTACACAACCGACGATCTCATATTTGGTTGGGATAATGATACTCCCTTGGCCGTAGACGACAATATCGAGCTTCCTCAACTGGATTTAGTAACAACAGAACGAGGTGATTGTACTCAAGTTTATTCCACAGGTATGAAGTAACTCTTTGTTTCACACTTTATTTATTGAGAAAAGGCCATATTGTAAAATATATTTCTACTTTATTAGTCATTCGGCGGTTAGAAGATTAAGTAAGTTATTTCTTCCGAAATACACGCGATATCTGTCAGTCGTAAGTTTGTAATGCGAGCTGTGTTCGTTTGCTATTACTGCGGTACGTAACTGGGATGCTAGGTGAAGACTCTCAGAAGGTTAATTACTATTTCAGTTCAAATTTTCTTTTGCATTAAGTAAAATTTCAAAATTGGAACACTTCTTTGCATTCATCTGGAAACATTTCACGGCAATTTTATGTAACCGTCAAAAAGATGTCTTAAGTTATTACAATTTTGAAGTTAATTTAAGAAAAAAGCGCCCATAATTATTTCTGAAGAATGCCAACTTCATAAAAAGTAAATTGGTTTTTCAAGGACACAGATTTAATAAGTAAAAAATGTTTTCCAAAGGCTTTTTAAAGACGTAAATTGTTTCTATAACGAATAACATTGATTTTCAAACGTGCCTGATACACTACTGTATTATATTAAAAATATTTGTTTTAAATGCCTCATGCGCTGTTACTTCCAGTAGTGTATGAGACACTTAAAACAAACATTTTTAATGATGGAAATCACTCTGATGTATAAGGTTTTGAGAAATCGCATGTTCTTAAGCAGTGGTTACTACAAGTACACTGTTGGCTATTTAAACTGCTACATCATAAAATAATGGAATTGCCAGAAGCATATTTACTTTCCAAATACATTATAAAAGAGGATTAAATGATTAAAATTCAGGTAATTTTGAGCCACAGAACACGTCAAAAACAGGTACTCGAGTATCCGCCTATGCAACAATAGCAGCTTTTACAAGGTTGTATATGAATCAAACAGGATTTGGATAACAGTTGCCTGTCTTGCAGTCCCCGCATTTTCGATTTTATGTCGAAGTTCTTCTGACAAGCTACTTGGTGGATGCTGTCCTGCCATACTTTCTGCAATTATTAACCAGACGCTTTCATTTGGTGAGAAATGGGGTGAAATTGCCTGGCAACGCAGGAGTAGAAATTTCTGTACATTGAAGAAACCTAGGACTGCGTGGGTGACGCAGTCTCCCATTGTCCTTTTGAGAGATAGCCTCGGAAAAAGAAAAGCAGATCCACAGGTTTAAGCTTATTTATGTAACGACAGCTGATCAAAGTACTGCATGTAAAGTCTAGAGGTGAACGGGATGTGCAACCAGTGACACGTTATACCAACCAATCCAGTATGACGATGAAAAATGCAAGTTTTGAATATTCGTTCCATCCGGCACTTCTACACATAGATATGGCTCTTATGATTCTATAAACAAAATATGCCACGCAACTGATGCGTCCATGTGCGTAGTTGGACGTACTATTGTAGGCGCTGATTCATGCGCTATAAGGTCAAGTGAAGCCAAAGCAATGGTCTCCTTGCTGACAATATGCGGTGTTGTAGATGTCGTTGCATTATTCATGCAAGTAAATGGTGTTGCGCAATCCATCCAATTCCTTGACCTAGGATACTTGATTAGCTGAATAGTTCGTACAGCGATGCAGACGAGATATCTGTCATCTAGGACTGGGGAGGCGCTCCTTCAGTTTCTCATAGCAGTCATTGGATTCTGACCAACGTGAGCCAAAAGTGCGTAGTACGGTAATCCGCAGACTCAGTGGGCTACAATTTTCCCTTGATAGGTGTCTAACACGTGCTGATATGAGATCTTTCATCTTACACGATTTATAGCGCGAGTTCCGACGCATGCATATCCAAACAACGCTCCCTCCAGGAAGCAAATTTAAAAAAAAAAAAAAAAAAAGTAAACGCGATTTCTAAGTGAAAAATCCACATTTCCGCCTGCGTTTTATGCACTACAAAGTGTCTTTGTTCTTGCATGTAATATACACATACAATGAAATGCTAATTATTTACGTGTCTCAGCGTATTCTAAATTTTATGCAAATTTCTTGAAAAAGTGTATATGCACTACTTTCAAGATGAAATAATTGTAATATCATTTTATAGTGTAATAATATAATGGCCATTAATGGTGTATATTAGTCTGAGTTCTTTTATGTATGATTTTATGAGTTCTTTTATGTATTTAAGTATGATTTCTTTTAATGCAGGACAGTTTATAAAATTTTGCTGTTTATTGTCATTTCTGAAATGATAAATCTTTCAAGTTACTTTATTCCTAAATAATAACTAGATAATTGCAATAATCTATGTAATGCGTTAATTTATTTCTCATAATCCGAATTTTTTATATATTTTCCTCTAAAACCTTTTCGCTTGCAGGTAACTTCACATGCTTACAAGTAATTTTTACTTTGAAGAGAAGACTCGGGTATTACTTATTTCATACGTACATTCCTACATGTCTCATCGTTATTATGTCTTGGGTGTCCTTCTGGATAAAGGTAAAAAAATTATTCGCTTTAGTTTCTTGCCTCCTTTTCCCCAATTTACCGATTTTCTTGTTACGACAAAATTTAAGTTCACTTAGTCAAAAGCTCTGCCAGCATCTTCAGTACTTATATCCAAATTAAAATATTTTTCTTGCTCTCCGTAACTGCTTGAATGCTTAATTTCATTTCGAAATGAAAATCATTGATTTCTTCTTTTATTGCTAAAGCGAAATTATTTTTTTTCCCTCCTTAACATTTCAGAACGTTTATTTTGTATTGAAAAAGTAGGCACACTGTATTGCTAAAAAGATTTAAAAAATGATTTACGATTAAGTCTAGTCTAATATAACAATAATAAAAAAGCAATACTTGCTGGCTGTGATTGTTTCAATATCCAGTAATGCAACAGATATTTACTTCAACCGGAACTTAAGGTTTAACGTTACTGAAGAAGCTATAATAAGCAGAAGACATCAGTAAGTTTACAGGTCTTTTTTATTTGGATTTCAACATAAGAAGTACACGAAATGATCCTCGAAAGCTTATATAGAAGAGTAAACTACTTTGCGACTGGTGATTTCGACTTCCGTCTCCAAAATACATGAATAATCAGTCTCCCGATTGGAACTCAGTCAAGTTTTACCAGCTGTAACAAGCCACTGAAAATTATTAATAATTAAATACACGCATTCCTACTTCCAAGACCTCGTTTTTTAGCTCATCATTTTCCTTAATGTGCTTTCCCTGGATTTAAATTTCAGGAAGTTTATCTGCCTCTGGTGGTTTTACAGAGGATGTTTACACATTTTTAAAACGAATTTTGGGCCGTTTAATTAGTGTTTAATATGTAAAAAGTATTTTTTAATGTATCATCTGATAGCATTTTCTGAATTATAAGTAAGCATCGTGATTTCCATGATAGGAAGGCTTTTCGTAAAATTTCCAGGGATACTGATTTTCTTCCATTTCTTTCTAGAGTCCATCAGCCGTGGTGGGTTTACGCTTAGAAAGAACTTTTTTCAAACGACCATAGGTACAATAGTCCATAGGAGAAACATCAGGGGACTTCGCAGGAATGCGTTGAAAATGTATATAAGCAATGTCTTTATCAATCTTCATTTTTTCAAGGAATGCTGTAGGACTGTTCAAGGAACAGTTTTCAAGGAATACTTTTCGAAGTATATAACTTGTTGCTTTTGCTTGATAAAGCAAGAAATCTATTTAAATGCAGATTAATTGGAATTCATTGGCCGGCGAAATGTTATGGTTTTGTATCTTCAACTTCGGCCTACCGAGCTTTCAACGATTTTGTTGAATTTTATTTTAAACATTAGAAATGATTTCTTTATACACTTTTATACTTTTGTATTTACTTTTTTCCCCCTTTGTGTATGATTTCACTGTATTATTGAAAATTCATGTCATTACTTACAATTTTGCCTTTTTTTACTTACGATTTGTAAGTCTCGTGTGATACTTTGTGGTGTACAAGGGATTTCTTTTTCTTTGAAAAAAAAAAAAAAAAAAAACTTGTTGCCTTGTGTTGATGAAGTTTCACCCTTTGAAAGTCAATAATACCTTCTCTTGATAACACGTTGAGTTGGTTTTAACATTTTCCCCCACTTATCTTATTTTTAATTTCACACTGTAAGAGAATTCTGCTACAATCATAACCCGCTTATTGAAATTTTCTTTGCACTGACGGAACCAGGTTTGTACATTTTTTCTCTTCGTTTTCGATAAAAAATATACTTTTATTTGTTGCTGTCATTTAGATAAACTCATGCTTCATCAAGGGTGTTTCCATTTATCCCTTGCTAAATATTGTAGTTTTCAAACAGGGTTCTACAGATTATGCTCTGTTGAGCCACATGCCTCGGCAAAAGCTGGTGGGCATTATGTTATTTAGTTTTTTTCAGAACTGTAAATCACGGTTTATTATTTTACTTATTGTTACTACAGACATATTTAAAGACTTATTTATTATTATTAAGACATATTTATAGACTTATTTATATTATTATAGACATATTTAAAGACTAGACTTATTTGTAATGTCCTGAATGTCTTGGTGCTTCTTTCTTTTAAGTAATGAATACATTTCTTTTTCACCTTTCTTTATATTCTAACGGAATGAGAGTTTTTAAACTTTTGATTTCATCAACTGTCCTGCATCTATGATACAAGACAGTTGATGGAATCAAAAGTTTAAAAACTCTCATTCCGTTACCTAATACCAAATATAATTCGGTAGTTTGTTCCTAGTTCATTAATTAGGTTTTTAATTGTATTCAATATTTCCAGTATCACTCAGTAACCTTTCATACATGCTTTTCATTAAAAGGTTCATTTTTAGTCAGGAATAATATCGGTTTGTCTAAAATTTGAAATTGGAAGGGAAACTTTTGGCAAAACTTAAAATATTTTGATAAGTCTGTGGGAGAGAAAATGGTTTCCTGTGCCATAATTTTACTTAGGAAAAGTGATGAAGCTTGTAGCATATGTATTTGCTTTCGGCAGCCGTAGAAGTAAAGAGCAAGGATATGAAAAAGGGCACTCAAAAATATAGATTTGATTATTGCTAAAATAAAAGTCAAGATTTTTAGTCTTATAAGAACTAAATACTTAATTTGTTATTGTATAACTTTTACATGTAGGTTAAATTTTATGAAGTTTTTTTTTTTTCATAGAACTTTTATGTGAAAAATAAATTGAAATATAATTAAAATAAATTAAGACTTCTGTTTCACCTACAAAATAAAAAGGTTATGCCTCCACACGCTTTACTTGAATCCGATTGCAGTTAATGAGTGGGGGATTATGCGCCAAGTCTCATTACACCCCAACTTTTTCTGAAATTCAGGAAGAGAGAAAATTAACAAAATTATATTTTATATAGTAATTATATTTAATTTGTGAAAAGCAGGAAAGAAAAGTATTAGTGCATATGTCTTTATATTTTTTTGTTTTTTGTAACATTTTACAGCCTGAAGCTGTTCCAGCTAGAGTGACTTTGGGAGTGACTAGTTTGCTTACACTTTCTACTCAACATGCGAAGAGCCAGGCTTCTTTACCTCCCGTTTCTTATATAAAAGCCATCGATATTTTCATGTCAAGCTGTACAGTATTTGTCTTCTTGTCCCTCATGGAATACGCTGTTGTTAATGTAGTACTCGAAGAAGAAGAAAGCTCACAAAAGAAAACAAATAACGTAAGTAATAATAAATTTAAAATCTACAGTTCTGTAAACTTAACAAAAGTACGGAGTTATTATTGGGTCTATAAGCTTCAGAAACGAAAAGAAATAATTTAGGAAATTTATATTGCAAGAATATTCTTTCCAAATAAAACTTACTATTCAGCAAGAAATGAATTTTCTAAGCTCATACTCAGCTTTCTGTATAACAGATGAATAAGACAATTTTTTTTTTTTAATTTTCTCACCTGCTGTATGTACACTCATTGCCATAAAAATTCACGCACCAAGAATGAGTTGCCAGAATAAAACGAAATTTTACATATGTAAGTACTACCTTGATATAAGCAAGTGATTAGAAAATAAAAGGAAAAAGGATCATTTATTGCAGAAAAAAGTACACATGAAAGGAAGTTTTAGCACTCTGTTGGACCACCTCTAGCGCGAATGCACGATGCGATACGAGCTGGCATTGAGACATACAAGTTCCGTATGGTGTCCTGAGACATCTCGTTCCACAGTTGCTGTAACGCGCCTCTAGTTCGGCCAAACTCGTAGGCTTTCCAACTTGCCGTCCCAAATGATCCCAGATATGCTCGATTGGTGACGAATCTGGGGATCAAGCAAGCCAGGTAAGGGTGTTAATGTGCCGGAGGAAGTCTTGTGAAATTCTTGGTGTGTGTGGCCGAGCATTGTTTTGTTGAAAACAGGCTCCTGGTAGCTCTGCATGAAGTGGCAACACATGTGGCTGAAGGATGTCATGGACGTACCGTGGCCTGTTATGTGCCAATGATCAATGTTAGGGTGACCGTGATCGTAAGCAAGGGCACCCCATCCATACACCACTGTGGGAACAGTGTGTCGCTGTAAACTGATGCAGCATGAGGCTTTCGCCACGAGGCCCCACACGAACAGATTGTCATCACGGTCAATTGAATCTAGTTCATCGAAGACAACCTGGTTTCCTTCCGTTTCTACATTTTAAGTCCAATCCTGTTGTCTGCGACACCACTCCAAACGGAGGCGTCGGTGGGTGGGTGTCACTGGCAGCGCACGTAATGGGCGCCGCGATACCAGATGTCCTTCAACCAGGCGCCTTGCGATGATTCGGGAAGACACAGGAGACAGTAATGAAGCTGCTGCCTGTGTCTGGATAGCGGCCAATGAGACAGTTGGCCCTACTCGTGTATATCGTATGATGTGACAGTCTTCTCGACGACTGGTCTGTCGAGGGCGTCCTGAGCCTGGTCGCCGTGTAAATGACGTCTCTTCTGTCCACTGGTTCCAACACCTCCTCACAGTACAATCAGAGCGGCCTACCTGACGAGCTACTCACCGAGCTAACCACCCAGCTTCCATCAGCCCGATTATTCTTCCCCTCTGGACCTTTGACAGCTGCTGATATTGGCTTCGATGGCGGCGTCGTAACCATGTTACAGCGTTTCCTTAGCAAAAGATTAAGTACACTCAAACAAGCTCTGCTTACCTATTTTTACACTCCAAGAAGAACGAAGTTGCACTCCCTTTAGTGGCATTACGCAATGCGCAGTCACGCTGCCTTTTTAATCAATTGCATATCTACCCGACATGTGTAACTTCATGTCAAGTTTTGTTACGATCCCACAATTATTTATTGGTGCGCAAATTTTTATGGCAATGAGTGTATATAAAAAAATAATACTAAATGCAGGATTTACTATGCTCTTTTCTCCTTCAGAAAGTTTGCATTAGTTATTTAATTATTGGTTTGTACTTTTTGTAATTAATTACACAATATTCACTTTATTAACATTGAGTAATTATAAGAAAATGTCACCAAAAACCTCCAGTCATATTCGCATATTTCTTATAACTTATGGAATTTTATATATTCTTTTTTTCCCTGCCTATTTCTTCAATCAGACAATTACAATTTGAAGATTTACAATACTGGCTTGGTTATTTAATAACAGTAACTGAATATTCGGTCTTACGGTAATTCGATGTACACTACTGGCATTTAAAATTGCAATACTAGGAAGGAGTAATCTGAGAAACGTCAAAAATCACACGAAAGGAAGAAGAGGTTGGGACATGCAAATGATTAGACGACGCAGGAGGGAAAAACGATATTTGAAGCACTGCATAAAAGAAAAGTTGTGTAGTGGATTTCTCATTCGGAAAGCACTTTGTAAGGTTGGAGTATGCTCAGAATATTGTGTTATGCCTCGAATAATAAGAAGAAATGCTTACCAGCACGTGTCGGAATTCGATAGAGGAAGAATCGTTGCCTATCGAGAGTGTGGATTATCGTTCCAGTGATAGCGCCCGTCGCACTGGTCAACATCCAACCACTATCATGCGAATATGGAATCAGTGGGTTGCCGAGGGTCATACTGAACGGCATGCAGGATCTCAACGCCCTCCCATGAATAACGCCCGAGAGGACAGATGTATTGTGAGGTCGGCCCTACAAAATCGTACAACCATATCACGGACTATTAGTCAGGAAAACGTCATGTTTGCAGCACGCTCAGTATCCGCTCGTACTTCGATGTTTGCAGCAGCGTGGACTATCAGCATGGAGACTATTACTTCGGCTTTGGTGGGCTGAACGACAAAGCTGGATAGAGGAGTGGCTCAATGTCGCCTTTTCAAAAGAGTCCCGAGTACAATTCTGATATACGCCCTAATTTCACCAAATGTGGCGATATGTGTTCTGCGCTGGTTTTTGGCGCAATTGCGTGTTGTATGGCAACCCTGCTGACGTAGAAAAATCTTTCGCTGGAGCTCGTTGGTTCGCGTCATGCTCTGTGTCTAAGAAGATGGGGGGGGGAGATAAAAAATCTTGGAAGTTGTTGAAGTTCGGCAAAAGGAAATATCATCGTGGTCATCCTGTTGAGGGGCAGTGGGTATTTGGAGGGTGTGGAAAGAGGGTCTGGGAGATTATTTTTAGTGGCTGTGCATAATAGAAATAGGGATTTGTGATTTTATTTATTTGTGAACCATAGTATGAATTTTCTGGACAGTGTGTCTGCTGTCAATAAATACGATAGTGATTACGGGCGGCATGTTAAGGCGGTATGAATCGGTATTTCTGCTGTTCGAAAAAGCATTAATTCATGGTAAGTGCATTTTATTCTTGTTCTTATTTTGTAGAATGTTATTTTCATTGTTTTTTTTAGTATGAATTTCTGTCGTTATTGTTCTTTTTTTAAATTATTTGAAATTTATTTTAGTTTATTTTGTTGATTAATGCGTAGTGTCTAGATTGCAAAGTTGAAACAGAACACTGTGTACGTGGTATTCTTTGAAATTTATTGTTGTTATGTTAATTTATTAACCCGGCGGAAGTCGTACCAAGAAAAGTTACTAGAGTGGGCGCGTGGGGTAGTACATACCCCAATATTTAAAATACAATAAAAATAGTATTATTTAGTTTTAAAACTGTTTTTTATTTGTTGTTGTTGTTGTTCTCGTGTATTATAAATAAGTGAATAATAATTGGGTTTCAAAAAATTAATTTCCGAAATAATCTTAGAGTTAAAATTAAGATAAATGAAAATAATAAAAAATAAACATCATGCCGCTAAGTTTCATTGTATCTCTAATACATCATACTTATTTTATTTCTTCACACTTTGAACGAAATACATTCATGTGTTCTTGGCACAGAATGTTTTCACATTTTAAACATTGCAATCACGCTCTTGTCCTTGCGCGAGGGCAAAAATGTATCACATCTTTCATACGAGGGCCATCCAGGAAGTAGATTACGTTTCCGTCTGTGTCCGCTAGGGGCGGGGCTAGCGCGGCCATCTTGGGGTCAGAGCGTTGCGCAGCTCAGTCTGCATCTAGCCGTGCCAGCCCGTGGTGCTCCCACAGACTGTACGGTGTGTGACGTTGAAATAATGTCTGCGTTAATTCTGAGGTGCGCTCAGAAAAAGGTTTCTGACTGAAAAACCAACCGATAGAAATCTATCGGCAGCTTCGTGAAGTGTATGGGACAACATTTACACTGAAGGGAGTGCGTCAGTGGGTCATAAGATTTCAAAAGGCCGAACCAATGTTCACGACGAAGATCGAAGGGAGACCCAGCATAGTGACTGCCGAACTTCTCGAAAAGTCGATGCTAAAGTCCGTGTGAAAATCGAAATTTCACAATAACGGAACTTTCTTTGAGTTTTCCACAAATTTCTCGCGAAGCTTGTTCACGAATCATCAGCGAAAAGTTGGTTACCACAGTTTTAGTTGCAATGGCAAAAGAGGACCACAAAAATCAGCGAATCGAATCCTGCAGCGTTGACTTTTTGGACGCTACCATAAGGATGGTGACTCTTTACTCGATCGCCATCGTTACTGGGTGACGAAACATGGTGAAACATGTGAACTGTGTGAAACGAATTGCAATCAATGACGGGGGGCACACAACCAAACCCAAGAAATGCATGCAAACAATGTCGGCCAAGGCAGAATGTGGCGACTTTTTTTTGGGACAGAAAAGGTTGTAATTTTGGTGGCTTCCTGGAAAGAGGCACTACAATAAACTCTCAAGGTATTGCCAAACTCTCCCCAAAAACTCAGAAGAGCAATTCAACAAGCGCAGAGGGAATGTTGAGCTCTAAGATCTTGTTGATTCACGACAACGCCCGGCCCCACACGGCAAATGTCACTCGTAAAGTTCTTGAATCTTTTAAGTGGGAGTTGTTTCCTCATCGCCGTACGTCCCGACCTGGCACCGAGCGCGACTTCCACCTATTTCCCAGCAATGAAGAAGTGGCTGGCTATGCAGCGTTTTGTGACGACGCACAGCTGCGAAGAAGAGGTAACGAAGTGGTTGAAGGCGCAGGAGGCCGAATTTTTCGACGAAGGAATTTCCAAGCTCGTACATCGCTACGATAAATGCCTTAATTTGTATGGTGACTATGTGAAAAGTAGTATTTGAGTGTGGCTTTCATCTGTATATAAAAAATTTGTTTCCTATACTTTGTTTATTTTTTTATTCCAAAACGTAATCTACTTTCTGGATCCCTCGT